GAAGAATCAGCTGCATCAACTTCTGGGATCATCATCTACTGAAACTCCACCTGCTGCGGAGTACTACTTGTCTGGACAGCTTCACTTGTTACCTTCTTTACTAGGGAAGATTAATCAAATGTAACATCTCTGCTACAAATTATCTTCTTGGTGTCTAAAAACCAAAGGCGGAATCCCTTCACTCCATGGGTGATTCCCATAAAGAGAGCCTTCGTTGCTCTCGGATTAAGCTTGGATTCCTTCACATGATAATAAGTAGTGGATCCAAATACATGTAAGGAATCATAATCAGTAGCAGGTTTTCCAGACCATACCTCCAATGGTGTTTTTCCTCCTATCGCTGATGATGGCAGACGATTGATGAGATGGCCAGCAAATGTCACAGCCTCAACCCAAAATGCCTTGCCTAACCCAACATTAGACAACATACATCGAACTTTCTCCAATAGTGTTCGATTCATACGCTCTACCACCCCATTCTGTTGTGGTGTATGTCTAACAGTGAAGTGTCGAATAATACCATACTCATGGCAAACGTCAAAGAATGAGTCACTTTTATATTCCCCTCCATTGTCGGTCCTAAGACGTTTTATCTTTCTACCAGTCTGGTTCTCGATCATATTTTTCCATTTCAGGAAAATTTGAAGCACTTCATCTTTAGACTTCATTGGATACACCCAAACTCTTCTGGAAAAGTCATCTACAAAAGTTACAAAATAATAGTTTCCTCATAAAGACGATGTCTTTGAAGGACCCCATACATCTGAGTGAATATAATCTACAATACCTTTTGTATTATGTATAGTGGTGTCAAACTTCACTCTCTTCTGCTTTCCCAGAACACAATGCTCGCAAAAGTTCAATTTGCAAGCCTTTGCACCTTTCAAAAATCATTTCTTTGCCAGAATTTGCAAGGATTTCTCTCCAGCATGTCCCAACCGCATATGCCACAACTGGGTTGCATCCAAATCATCACCTCCGGAAGCTGCTGCAACTGCTCCAATAATTGTACTACCTTGGTAGTAATACAAATTATTTTTCCTGATGCCCTTCAGCATCACAAGTGCGCCATATGTGACTTTTAAAACTCCATCTCTCATAGTGACTACTGAGCCTTTGGATTCCAAGGCTCCCAACGAGATGAGATTTTTCTTCAAACTGGCACGTATCGGACATCTGTCAGAACTCTGGTTGATCCATCTTGATTCTTCAATCGAATTGAACCTATCCCAACAGTTTTACAGGCATTGTCATTGCCCATATAAACAACTCATGCATTTAGTTCCACTAAATCAGAGAACCACTCCCGATTAAGGGACATATGATAGGTGCAACCCGAATCTAATAGCCACTCATCGGAATGGAATGTTGTTGATGAAGCAACCAATGATATGTCAGAGTCATGTGCATCATGCTCTGCAACACATGCATCTGGAGCAGCTTTCATTTCTTCTTCAGCTTCGGACAATCTTTCTTCCAATGGCATTTCTCATGACAAAAGGCACATTCAACTTTTCCCAGTCTGGACTTCGACTTTGATCTCCCTCTCCACTTTGGCTTTTGACTTTTTGAGCGACCTCTTGCCACCATGGCCTCTGCTGCTTCATACTTACTCTCCTTATTGGTTTTCTTCATGAGTTCATAACTATACAAAGCAACAGTTACATCTTTAAGGGTAAAATTATCCTTACCATGAAGTAACGTTGTCTCAAGGTGCTCAAATTCATCTGAAAGAGATGACAACAACATCAAAGCCAAATCTTCATCTTTGAAGGTTTCATCCATGCCCAATAAGTCTTCCACTAGCTCATTGAACGCAGTGATGTGTTCATTCATATTGGTGCATGATTGATAATCAAATTTGAACAATCTTTTCTTCATGTGGAGACGATTCTGAGAGCTTTTCTTTAGGAATTTTTCCTTCAAAGCTTTCCACATCTTACTTGCAGAAGTCTCGTTCTTGTAGTTATACTTCTGCTCCCTGGAAAGACAAGATCGAATCGTGCTGCACGCCAAACGATTGATTGTTCCCCATTCTTTCTCCTCCATATATTCGGGTTTTTCTTCTTCAATGGCGATGTCTAGACCTTGTTGGAATAAAGCGTCTAATACCTCGCCTTGCCACATGTCAAAATGACCGGATCCATCGAACAACTCCACCGAGAAATTTGCATTTGACATCACCCTCCTCACCGGTCCAGATGAAGAGCTTGATGTCTCAACTGATCCGTATTTTGGCATTTTAATTCTAACGAACAATATTCGATATCACGAACTATATCTTTTCAGCAACGGAACCACTAGGATAACCTCAACCGAAGCTCTAATGCCAATTATTGGGAAAAAGGGGTTATTTCCTACACGAACGTAGTTTTAAAATTGACCTAAAATGTCAAGATTAAAACCACCAAAGGTTGCACAGCGGATAAACCTGCCAAACTATTGAATTTTGAAACACAATGGAAAAGAGCCGAATAAAAACAATAAAGGAGAGAACACACCAAATTTACGAGGTTCGACGAGAATATCGTCTACTCCTCAGGCACCACACCAGATGATAACTTCACTATATCGCCAATATTACAACAAATGGAATTCTTTAGAATTCTCAAAGTGGGAGAATGAAGAATACAAGAGGAAGAGAGAACTTGTTATTGGGATGATCTCTAATGGAAATACTTAGGCCTATTTATAGTTGAGTTTTAAGAACAATATGTTCAAAGTTTGGCCACCTACCAAAGAATTTTCCAATGTGTACAAGTTAGCCACCAAATATAAAATTCACATGTTCAAAGTTTGGCCACCAATCAAGATGAAATTTCCAATAAGTTGGCCACCAACCAAGATGAAATTTCCAACTTTTCAACTTAATTTCTAGACAAATCTAACATACATGTCTCGTCACGTGGTATTTGATGAAATCGTATTTCCTTTTGCAATTGTTGATAAAATCCCTTTATAGTCTGGACTTTGGAGAAGGAGTCTTAAATGTTTGATATCTTTTGTGAAGTTGCGATTTTTTTATACGACTTATGATAAATTCATGTGATTTATTAGAGTTAAATTTATTGTCAGTCAATCGTATGCATTTAACTTATTGTCTTATGGATAATCATAATAACTCTACGCCTAATATAAATGTTAAGAGCCGTTACAAAGTTTCTCCACCAATAACAAGAGAAGGGTATGAAATATTCTCCCTACTCACCCATCTATCTTTTACGTTATTATGGAGGTAGAAGACTTTGGCACAAATTAACAAGAGAAGGGTATGAAATATTCTCCCTACTCACCCATCTATCTTTTACGTTATTATGGAGGTAGAAGACTTTGGCACAAATTAATTGGTCCTCCACTGACCACAACTCTTCATCTAAATAAAAAAAAATAGATCGCCCATAAATATCGTGACTCATTTATCCCATCAACAAAAATATTTGTTACATTCAAAATAATAATAAACAATATAAATAAAAATGTATTAAATAATTTAATACTTCAATGAATTAAAGTTGAAAGAATCCAACCAAAAAAAGAGGGCCCTCCACTAAACATTTATCATTGAAGAAATCTTGTATTTGACGTTTGTCGATTAAGTAGAAGATGAAGCCAATCATGAGGTTGGATCGCCATCTCTCAACCCCTCCTCTTACATTGGTATAACTGATTACGTGTGAAGAATATTCTTGCAAATGGACTTCCGTTTTGGTTCCTACACCTGAGGAGGCTCCCACTAAAACAAGGTTTTAGAATCGGACAAAATTCATATAAACTTTCATAGATAACGTACATACACTCTATCAAATTCTTAATTTTTAAGAAGAATAATATCCCCTTAATCATTAAAGTCGTTTGATGAGTTCATATATTTCGTATTTTTAATGTGTTATATGACACTTTTAAACTATAGTAATATGATAAAACACGTTAAAAATCGTATTATATATTTTAAAATTTTAAAACGAGGTTGTTTAACAAACCCATTTATGACTATAATGGGCCTTAGTTGATGCAAACAAACCATGCAGTTTGGAATAATTAAAGTGTGAAATTGTTGTTGGAACAATTCAAGAGAAGGCCTTCCCATGTTAATGGATTTCTCTCTCTTTCTCCTAAAGTAATCTCGATGATTTCGTTCAATCTAATTTCAGAATCGAAACGTAGTCTCCATGATCTCGTTCAATTTAATTTTAACCTTCAATATTTGTCTCGAGCATTGTTACTTTCTAACAAGTCCAAATTAAAAAAAAATTAAATAACATTAATTCTTTTCCTTATAAGTTGTACATCAACAAAAAAAGTTCGATATAAAATTAGTTTTACTCAAATTTAATTATAAATATATATAGCATTACTGATGTAAAATATTTTAAATAGCAAAATATGCTGATCAAATAAATCTATTTTGATTTTAGATCAAATACAAACATAAGATTTTGTGTTAGAGGACGTAAATATTTAAAAAGTATATTAGAAATGTAGAGGTTATAAAATTAAATTATTAAAAAATATATAAAAGATATTTAAATTATATAAAAAAATTAAAAAATTCAAGAGAGATGAAAGGATCTCAACACCCCCACTCAATCCCTGTTTTGATGAAAGCTTGATCAGGAAAATCCTTTTTACTACTACATTGACTCAAGTAAAGTAATAAGGTTAGATAAGCACACGTTGACTTTGTTCTTATTATAATTAAAATGGTGAGTGGCATTTGAAATTAAAAATTCAAGTACTCCAGTTTGTAACTTCAAATGAAGACTTTAATTTGTAAATACCAAGCTGGCGTTGCCAGGCTGCCGAGCGAGAAAATTGCTAAGAAGGTTCCTATAGCTTTGTCGACTGTTTTGGACAATGAATATATTAATCAAATCAATATCCACTTCCAGACGACTTAATCCCTATAATTACACTGTTAGATTTGTTTAATCATTTCAAAACTATCTCCTTTTCACCAATATCCATTCCTTGATCATTTCTCAGATAAGAACAAGGATAATATGGAGAGAAGATTATCAAAATGCATCCACCCACCAATTTATGGAAATCTTATCACTCTTCTCAGTATTGATGGAGGGGGAATCAGAGGAATCATTCCTGGTGTTATCCTTGCCAGACTTGAATCTGAACTTCAGGTAATTAACATGAAATATTTCTTGAAAATAAATCATATTGTGACATCTGCAATCGCGACACTGTACGGTTCGATTAATGTTGTATTGAAAACAGAAATTGGATGGTGATGATGTTAGGCTTGCGGATTACTTCGACTTGATGGCAGGGACGAGCACCGGTGGTCTTATAACAGCCATGTTAGCTGCCCCAAACGAAAATGGCCGTCCTCTATTTGCTGCAAAAGATATAGTGCCCTTTTACCTTAAAAATGGCCCTCAAATTTTCCCACACCCAAGGTATATCTGCTATGACATATTAATACGTTATTCTTTTCTATAAACCCCTATGTTTAAGAGTAATTTTTGGGTTCAGTGGGATTCTGGCTTGGCCTTTAAGGATATCGAAAGTTCTAACGGGACCAAGATACGACGGGAAGTATCTTTACAAGCTGATGAGAGACTTATTAGGGAACACCAAATTGCATCAAACCTTGACCAGTGTCGCCATTCCAGCTTTCGACATCAAGAAGCTTCAGCCTACAGTCTTCTCATCCTATGAGGTAGTTAAATAATATTATCCCGAATCGACTGGTTGAATTCGAGACGGGTGGTTTATATGTTTTATCATATAGTAAAGCTGGGAATTTTGGGTCTGCAGATTCCTATCAATCCAGGCACTGACGCACTGTTATCAGACATCTGCATATCCACATCTGCAGCACCAACTTATTTCCCATCTTATTATTTCAAGAACAACGAAGAAGAATTCAACCTTATCGATGGAGGCATCGCAGCCAACAATCCCGTAAGTTTTTTTAAAAAAGTTGACACAAATGAAAATCATATAACAGAAGCTGACACGAGTTATTGTGGGATATCAGACATTGGTGGCCATACGAGAAGTGACGAAACAGATAATGAAAGAGAACCCAGATTTTTCCCCGACAGATCCATTGGATTACACCCCATTTCTGGTGATCTCAATAGGTTCAGGATCCAACCGGCGTGAAAAGAAATACGATGCTAAAGCGTCGTCTAAATGGGGTCTAATAAGTTGGTTATTTGAAGATAACAAAAGTCCGATACTGGATTTTTATGGAGAAGCGAGCAAGGCTATGGTTGATTACCATAACAATGTTGTTTTCCAAGCCCTGCATTCCGAGGATAATTATCTCCGGATCGACGTAAGTTTTTTTTTAATCTTTGGTTTTGCTCCGGCTATTTACTCGAAACTTGATATGTAATGGTTCGATTAGGATGATACGCTAACCGGAGAAATGGCCTCCGTGGATGTATCGACGGGGGAGAATATGAAGAACCTCGTAGATAAAGGAGAGAAATTGCTCGACAAAACTGTTTCACGCATCAATTTAGACTCCGGCCATTACGAACCAGTAAAAAATGGTGGCTCCAATGCAGAAGCACTGCAAAGGTATACCAATATGCATATAAATATATATTGTAATTATAACTTGAAATCTAAATGAGGAAAACTCATTATTTTGCAATCTCTTTTACTAAAATCATGGATTAATATTTGTAGGTTTGCAAAACTACTGTCGGATGAAAGGAAACTGAGGAGATCCAACTCGCCAACTGCGTAGGCCAGCAACTCTCTTTTTAGCATGTCCCATCATAAAATTGATTGATAAATTAAATACTCCTACTTTTTTTACATTTTAATAATTTTGTGTGTTTAAATGATATTTTAATAAATTAAATAGTAAATTTAATAACACAATCACAACATATATATATATATATATATATATATATATATATATATATATATATATATATATATATATAATAATTAAATTAACTGTAACTTATGTCTATAGAAAAAGAATAAAAAGAGATAATGGTAAAGGACCACCATGTGGTACAAAGTGAAGAGTAGTACATTTCATGTGCCCATTGGAATGGTTTTCAATGAAAATGCTTGACCATAAAAGTTTATATTGATTATGCTATTCGAAAACTAACCTTATTAATTAAACTAATTGCAAAGCTATTGTCATATATGTTAGTTGAGATTCTTTTCATATTTGTAGAATTTCTTTTACAACTTTACAAATCCGAGCAATAGTACATTACTAAAAAGGATGGGCATGGGATCCGAACCCGACGGGTTCCGACCTGACTTAATCGGGTTAGATTTTTTTTTAAAAAAAATGGATTCGGGTCGGGTCGGGTTTAGGGTGAAAATACCCGACCCGACTCGCAAACAATATATAATTTTACATTATATATTTAAGAATAATTACAATAATATCTCTCTATAGATAAATTTTTTTCAATTAAGTTACTGTTTTTACTGAATAAAAATAATTGTTTTATAATTTTGGGTCGGTTCGAGTTTTTAAGTTATATACCAGGTCGGGTTCAAGTCGGATCGGATCTCGGGTGAATGACTCCTTGTTCTCGGGTCGGGTGGACCAAAAACCCGACCCGACCCATGCCCACCCCTATTACTACATGAGGACTAAAAATTAATAGCAATGGCATTAAATAATTTATTGTTAACATCATAACTATAAATTCTGATTTTCATTTAGCATATGATTCGATGAATTAGTTTTGAAAGTTGCCAGTTAGCTGCTACAGAGCGAAAACTATAAAAGACAGTTTGCTCAAAATTAAGTCCATGCACGTTCTCTTTTAATAACTCGGATTTTCCTTTCTGTTTGTCATAAATTCTTAGCAATTTTTTTATTTACTGTTGTTGGGTATAACTACGATATTGTCAAAGATGAACCATTGGAAGGGCGTTACGAGTGGGTACGATTAAAGCCATGAAGAAATTCTAAACACCCGGGAAAAAAAATTAAAAGGAGAGGAATAATTTATTTGGCAGAAGAAGAAATCAACCAGATGATTTCTCTGTTCTATTTGCTGGTTTAATAGTAATAATAAAGAGTAACATTTTTAGGCATGTCTACTTTTCTATTTAACATTTCTAGACGGAAAGAAGAGTGCAAAATTACCTTTGACTTGTTAACTAATTTTTCCCATATTTTTATTTTGAAATTACAAAACCTACTTATTTATTCGTGTCCGCCTCTGATTGATCAGATGGAACCTTGCTGCTTTCCACCAGCAAGGCAGCGTATCGAAAATATACGGTCTTCACCTCCATAGTGTGTGACCTAGTGTACACGATTTTCACCTCCTCGCGTGCCCTCTTTTTTTTCCCGATCCTGTCAACAAAACACCAAACAATTTCAAATTTCCGCTACATTCTTCATCGCCTTTTTCGTCATCATCATCGTCAAGACCATCGGCACCGTATGTAAGGTCACGATCATCTCCATCACGGGTGGGATCATAGCTTCCTTGCAGAATGATGCGATTGATCTGATCGGGCCTCACCTTCACACATTCTGTTAAAAACGCAACCAGCTCGTCGCATTGCTTCTTCGCTTGCGCCAGCTCCGAGCTCAAGATCTCGTTATATTTTTTCAGTTTTTGGCTCTCTCCTGATAGTTCGGACAATTGAGTCGTTATCTTCGGCTTTGACTCAACTGATCCCGAATTCCTCGAGTCAGGTGAAGACGTGGAAGTGAACCCTAGGTCCTCTCCCGACTTAGTCGGAGAGGAAGGACGAGCACCAGATGTTTTACCGTTCGCCGGAGTATTATTCGGCGGTGTAATTACTGGCTTCCGACGTCGGATTCCGGACAAGAGCTCTTTTTGCCCTCGCTTGAAGTTGTCGTTCGCGAATTCCCATTTGTCTTGAACAACCTTTCGAAATCCCTGCAAGAAAACAGTAAATTAAAAGTTAAAAGCATCTATTTTCTCCCCCCTATTATAATGTTTATTTGTGAAGAATATATTACTTCCCTTAATTTCTTTTACACATTAAGTAGATATATTATTTGTTTCTAGTTCTTTAGTATATGGGTTAATAATAAATTAATTTTATATTTATAACTTTAGTTATTTATATAATTTAGTTTAAATATAAGGAACAAATAATATTTTTATTTTAAATATGTTATTTTTTGTACATTTTTAAATTTTAAATTTACATTATTTATTTTTATTTTTATAATAAACTATCTTAAAACTCTTATAATAATCAAACTTTTTCTTATACTAATACCATATAACCAAACACATTAAACACATTTATTTAGGATTTATATAAAAAAAATTGATCTTCTAGTGGATTGGGACACTGGATCTCTTAAGTAAAGTCTGGGTTTAAATTTTAACATTTGTGAATGGAGTAAACCAGGGGTTGGGAGGGTCACCTTTGCCTCTACAACACCCGTCCAGATTAATCAATTAATAAATCAGATATTAATTGTTACATCAAAAATCAATTTTTATCAAGATAACATTCAAATATTTTTTATTTTTAAAAATAATATACAGTTTTATAAGAAAGTCATATCAAAGTGTATGTAAAGATGGATCGAGGGGCTTCTTGAAAATTCTCCTTTATTTTAATTTTTTTTATAAATTCATTCTCTTTAAAAATTTTAAACTTTCGTCTTCTTTAAATATATATGTATCCTACATGGCACAAATGGTGAAAGGCTCTTCCAAATGAAGCGTCTTTTATCCTAAACCATGCAAAAAAAAAAAAAAAAATCGACTGTGAATTGATTTTAGAGTTTATAAAATTAAATAATATTTAATAATATAACAAGTATGATAAATTATATTACCAATACCTAATATTTTATTTATTATCCATTTAATCTTTAAACATGATTAATCCTATTATTACAAATATAGAAGATGATTTTGATGTCGTGGTGAATAAATTAAACAAATTCAAAGATAAATTGTCACTGCTAAGTATCTATCTTTAGGAAGCTCAGAAATAGTTCGCAAAAATAATTTTAAAATTCAATTTTTTCCGTCGAGAAGTCAACGGAACAGCTCATAATCTTATACAATTTAATTTAAATCGTTATAATTTATTTTATACCGAATTTTAATACCTAAATTATATTTAGAATATTATATTGAACGAAGCTATATACTAAATTAATACTATTAGCTACTTTAAAAAAAAAACTCGGTTCGCACGTTGGAATCGGAATCTAAATATTCCCACCAAGTGGAACGAATATACAACTTTTAATTCAATTAGCATGGGCGTATAATAAGTCTAAGAATTTCGAAGAACTTACGTAAGTGTTGAGCTGACGCACAAAGCTGGAAAAGTTGTCGTGCTTGAAATAGTTGGGGAGCAATTCCCTAGCAAAATCAGCCATTTTCCAAACCACAAACGACGTGCCGTTTTCATTCCATGAAATCACATCGTCGGTCATCGGATCTTCCACCAGCTTGTATGTTTTCATCAAGAACGGCGCCGGAACACTCCTTTGACTCATTCCGATCCTCCTTTTCCTTCACCAACCTAAATCCAAAAACCAAAAAAAATAATAATAATAACCTATAATCATCCAATATTATCAGTATTACAGAGACGAGAAAAAAAACTGGGTTAAAGAGAAGAACAACTAAAGAGAAGAAGAGCCGTCAAGAATTCCCAACCCCAGTCAGAGAACCCAAAGAGGATATCACTGTTACAGTGTTTGGTCGTATCAGTTTCCATGGATTAACAGAAAGACATCCCTGGGTTATTTGAATCTAAACAAGACGACGACTCTCTAGTCTTTTTTTCCTTCTTATTAATCTGAAGAGGGTGATAGCTAAACTTAAGGAAGTGGGTTTCTAGAGAATTTAAAGAAGAAAAGCGTGTGTTTGGGACTTGAAATCAAGCTTCTCCACTAGAGTAGGTTTTTTCAAAGTTAAAGCATCATTAAAAGAGATTGGAAGAATAAGAAGAAATGAACACGCTTTTCTTCTTTCTTGAATATAAGAGAGATTTTTCTAACGAGAAAATGTGGTGGGAGCTTTTTCTTCAAAGGAAGCTTCCATCACAATATTCCTATAGAATTTTTTTTCTCGTTTCAGCTTAATCTTATGACCTTTGACCAATCATGTTTTTCTTTACCTAGAAACACATTCATGCATTGATGGTTATATATATTTTTTCCTGCTGCAATTCATAATTAATTCAGATACATGTAATAATAATGACTCGTTCACGGACCAACTAAAATATGAACACATCGTTGACTTTGGTTTCCAGCCTCTATTAAAAGTTTCCAGTATATTGCGTAAAGGATTTGCGTGAAGTGGACGAGGCATCAATGTCTTCTCCAAATAACGTGAGAGCACAAATGTTGAAACTTTTAATATATCACCCTTCGTATTGACTTCCTCTTCCACATTTATTCCACCTTTACTGTTTGTTTCTTTCCCCAAATAAAATAAAATTATAAGAATAATATACATGATTAAAGCATAATAAATCTTGTTAATTAAATTGTTTTTAAAAATTATTAAAGTGTGTGAAATAACTACTAAAATAAAATATGACTGTATAAGAAAAAAGTTAAAAGTTCAAACATATCTCTAAAAACTTATATATACGCATAAATATTATTATCGACAGTGAATAATAAATATTATCAATGCTAACATAAAATTGTATATAACGATAATCGTACAATGACGGGCTAGATTTATCACAATTCAACCCTGGCCTATTTATAATAATTGTGAGAATCCAAAACAAGTGTAGATTAACAAGATAATCAAATTAACACCAATCGAAAAGATGGTCTCAAATCCAACCTTGATCAAACAAAAGATGTACTTCAAATTATTATCCTTTTAAATAGATACTAAAGATTATAATTAGAAACGTTTAACCCTTGAATGACCTGAATAGCAGCAATTATCTTATATTCTTCTGTCTCATATCAGTAATTTTTTTTCTTATACCCATGATTTTTCCATTTAAAGTATTTTATTTAAAATTTATGTATTCTTTTTTTAATAGTTCAAGATGATTAGAAGATGATATATGTTCATAATTTTTTTAGTCATTGATAATATACACATATCTTGTAGACACATTTATTCGAATTCATGATTTCAAAGAAGAACAACACTCTTATTAATCATTGAAATAAATTCTATGTATTCTTATATTTTTTTCCTTATTGTTTTACAATCGTTTCTATATGTCACTATCTTTGTATATTATAACAAATAGTTTTACAAGTTACAACCAAGAATAAGTGAAATTACATTTTAAATATTATTAAAAACGTTTCAAGAATTTATGGCATATGCTTTAATTATTCAAAGTTTTTGTAAACGGTTTATGCTGTGAGTTATTGACGTAATTTGAATGAAATGATAGACGTTGATCTAACGTAGTGTAACCCCCTAGACCCGGCCTATGCGTTTCAACTAAGTCCAGTGGATCACAAAGACATTTTCCAAAACCGTTATCCAATCAATGTAAAACCACATTATTCATGACATGAAATTATAATAAATTATAATTTTTAAAACTCAACTCTTAAATATAAAACCAATCAGTAATAAATTAATTTAAAACATATCTTAAAAATCAAAACCACGATAAACTGAATAGTAATTGCAAAAGTATCATCATTAAAAAAAATCCAATACTTTAAAATAGGTCCATGTCACCAGAATAAAATCAACTTGTAAGTTTAAAATATTACAATCAGATATACTTCAAGAGATATGTTGATCCTCCAAGTGCTCGAACCGAGGTATCTAACCAACAGTATCTGAAAGGGGAAAAACATTTTCGAAAGGTGAGCTAGGCTCAGTGTGTCCCAACATTACCATAAAATCACAATAGGTACATTAAACAAATCATAGTCCAGTAAATCTCACAAATTCGTAAAAGAGTTTAACTTTTGAAAATCATAGTTTAAACCCTTTTCTGGTACACCATCAGTAGTTCCCAAAATTATTTTTCATATAGCTTACTTTATGCACATAGCACAAAGAAAACCGACTTAAGGATAGGCTATGAAGCTTGTATCCTTAAGCCCAAGTCAATAAGTCCATATAGCTTACACTAAGTACACAGCAAAGGAAAGCCGACCTAATGAAACATCTTGGGGCCCTCAAGAATCACATTAGGCCCGTTTATTAGCTTGATCAGAGCTATACAATTGTAGTTCAATCCATCCCAAAATCAATATCCATATACCAGTCATCAAAGTCCATAAATCATCAACAATAAATCGGTGTACCAACAATAATAAACCATAGATTTCAATGTACCATATTTCAAAACATATAAAACCATTATGTAGTAAACAGGAACACACCTCGATAATGGGTTCAGATAGTAGAACTACTGATTGCTGGTTTCACCACGCTCTGTTACAGTTTTTGAACGGGTGAATACTGGTATACGTGGTTTAACTGATCTAGAAGAGCTGGGTCGAGCTGTCGAATAATCCGGAGAGTCTCTTGTACCTTCAAATTATCCTAATTAATCAACCCCAAATCTTACTTAATTGTTCAAAGCTAAAATTCTTAAGTATATAAGCATTTTTTGGGTTTGACTATCATTTTGGGGTATTTCGAGTCTGAATTTGGCCAAACGGATTGTGGAATCAGAATCAGGACATCGAAAAACATAAAGTATGAATTTTCGAAAATTCAGATTCTTGGTCAAAGTCAAAGTCAACCACTTTGACCGTCAATTTGGATGCTTTCGGGTTCGAATTTGACGAAACGGACTTCGGAAACGGATTTGGGACGTCGAAAAATATCAGAATAGGTATACTCAAAAAAGATTTACGATCGTTTAAGGGTCGGTCAAAGCCATTTTATGTTTTGGTCAAAGGAAGTCAACGGTCAACGGTCAACGGTCGGGTCGGGTTAGACCAGTCAAACCGGTTCAGACCAGTCGAAACTGTTCAAACTGATTTCCAGCCCTCCACTCTCCCTGCGGCGGCGCGTGCGACGCGTGAGGCCTCATCCGGGGGTCTAAAAATTCCAGAAAAATTTCTAAAAATTATTTTAAGCGATTTCGAGATACTTACAAAGATCGGTTCAAATTTTTGAACGGCGGAGAGCTCGATTTCAACTCGGCCGAATCTTTGACTGCTCCACCTCCTCACGCGCCGCTGTCGACGACGAACAAGGTTGACACCGGTAGACTCGAAACAACACAAGGAACACGATGGTGCAGGAGGTGTCGTAAACGGAGCAACGATCGGCGGTGAATTTAAGATTTTCCCGGCGATAGAGCTAACAAAAACATCGAGACTTTGACTGTAAATCCCCGACGTTTGGCAGCGTTTCGCTTCAATTAAATTGAAGGATTTGTTCCACGCTCGATGATGAACACAACGGTGGTTTTAAAACGACAATCGAAATTTGGACGGCGTCGGAATCGGAGTTGGAAACTGCGTATGGGAAAGGAAAATTGGGAGCATTTTGGTTCTGAAAATCAGAACCAAATGCACGCTTATAATCAAAGTTGCCGACAGTTTTAGGGTAAATTCAAGGCTTGGTCCTTGGATTTCCTTCACTTCTAAAATGGCCTATAAACTCTTATAAATTTTGATTTAGCCACCAATAATTTACCAATTTTCACAATTAACCTCCAATTTCAATTAAATATTATTTTGTAAATATTCGGGTTATTACAATTCTCCCCCTCTACAAGAAATTTCGTCCTCGAAATTTACCTTATGAGAACAGTTGAGGAAACTGAGCCTCCATTGACTCCAATGTCTCCCAAGTAGCTTCTGAGAGGCCTCGGTTACTCCATTGAACTTTGACCATTGGAATACGCCTATTCCGAAGAACTCGCTCATCTCTTTCTAAGATCTGGATGGGCTCCTCCTCATATGACAAATCAGGTCTCAGCTCTACCTCATCAACTTGAATGATGTGATCTGGATCTGGACGGTATCGCCTTAACATAGACACATGAAAAACATCATGAATACGACTAAGATGGGAAGGCAACTCAAGCTGATAAGCAACAGGTCCAACTTTCTTCAGAATACGATACGGCCCAATAAATCGCGGGCTCAGTTTACCCTTACGTCCAAATCTCAATACTTTCTTCCATGGAGATACCTTGAGAAAAACCTGATCTTGAACGTCAAACTGTATATCCTTCCTCCTTTGATCTACATAAGATTTCTGCCTATCAAATGCCTCTTTCAGGCGGTCACAGATCAATCTGACTGTGTCATCTGTCTCCCGCACTAACTCAGGTCCCAAAGTCTTCCTATCATGCAACTCAGTCCAACAAATCGGAGTGCGACACCTACGCCCATAGAGTGCTTCATAGGGTGCCATACGAATGCTGGTCTGGTAACTGTTATTATAAGCGAATTCAGCCAAAGGCAAAAAGTTCTCCCAGCTACCATGAAAATCAATTACACAACCCCGTAACATATCCTCCAGAATCTGAATTACTCTCTCAGATTGACCATCAGTTTGTGGGTGGAAGGAGGTACTATAATCCAATCTCATACCCAAAGCCGTATGTAGCGCCTTCCAAAATCTCGAAGTAAATCTCGGATCTCGATCTGAAATGATAGATAACAGAACACCATTCAATCTAACAATCTCTGAAATATACAACCTCGCCAACTTGTCCAATGTATAATTTACCCGTACAGGAATGAAGTGAGCCGACTTTGTAAGTCTGTCAACAATCACCCAAATTGTGTCCTTTTTCGAAGGAGTCATAGGTAAACCAGTAACAAAATCCATAGTAATACGCTCCCATTTCCATTTAGGAATCTTGATAGGTTGTAACAAACCTGATGGATGTTGATGTTCCGCCTTAACTTGCTGACAAGTCAAACACCTCGCCACAAAATTTGAGATGTCTTTCTTCATGCCGACCCAATGATACCTCTATCTCAAATTCCGATACATCTTATCTCCACCGGGGTGCATAGCATATG